AACGGGTCGGGGCCCGGGCCCGGTCATCGCTGTCAAACAAGAAAGAGCCGCCAGGCCGCAGGCCCTGACTTCGGCTCGGGTCGTTTTGGGCCAACCCCCGCGCGGCGGTCAAAACGGTCATATTGGCCGTTTTGACCGTTTTGCCCCTAAAAACGATAAAAAACGGTTGCCTCTATAAATAAAGGGGGGTTTCACTTCTTCTCGTCACACCAAAACTCATCTACTTCTATCTAATACTCTCTTATACAATCTTATACTCTCTTATACTCTCTAATAATCTCTTATACTTTCTAATCCTTCTATCAAATGGCTTCCGAATCTGATTATGTTGAGCAAAACCTATATCCTACCGATCATGAAATGAGTCCTCCTATAGCAGCTACTCCTACCGATCCTACCGATGTTAATCCCGAATCCGGTGCGACGAATCTGCACAAAGAGCTCCTAAAAGGCCGAGATCCGATGTGTGAATTTTTTTTGAGAAGATAGACGTCACCAAGGATTAACACGGCAGGATCCTCACCCAAAAGGCTAAAGGTACGTTGTGCGGCCAAACTTTCCAAGCTCATCATAAGAGCGGTACCAACCACCTCAAATGCCATATAGAAAAACACAACAAACGCCAGAATCCTCAAGGTGATATCCGATAATCTATGATTTCCCAATCATCCTATTCTGACAGTCTCGGTAGTTGGAATTATGACGCTTCCCGAGCCAGAAAATACGGAATCAGGTTTATCATTCTTAAAAATCTTCCTTTTAAATTAGTAGAAGATGATGAGTTTGAAAATATTGTTAGTGATGGTTTTTATCCCACATTTACAAAATTTTCTCGTCAAACCTATCAACGTGATATTTTAAAATATTATCAGGAGGAACAAGGAAAAAACCTATCAACGTGATATTTTAAAATATTATCAGGAGGAACAAGGAAAAATAATTTCTTATTTTAAAAATTTAAACTGTAAATTTTCTTTAACTTCTGATATTTGGACATCTAGAACACAAACTGGTTATTTATGTATCACAGTACACTGGATTGATAAAAATTGGCAAACATTTAAGAGGATTGTTTCCTTTATTGCAATTGAAGAGTAACATATTGGTATTAATATTACAAATTTAATAATTGAAGAACTTATGAAACTAGAAATTGATCAAAGAATATTTTCTCCTTCACTAGATAATGCAAGTAATAACAATGTAGCTGTTGATTTTATCAAAACAACTCTGTCATTGCCATGTCATGGTGATATTTTTCATATTAGATGTATCTTTCATATTTTAAATTTAATTATTCAAAGTGCATTTACTGAAATTAAACTCATGATAGAAAATGTTAGAACAATTGCTAATATGCATAATGCTTCTGAACAAAGAATTAAAAGATGAAAATAATTTTACAAAAGAAAAATATTATAAGCCTAGACTAATTCCAAAAGATGTTAGCCATAGGTGGAATTCCACATATGCAATGTTAAGTGTGGCAATAGAATATAAAGAAATTATAAATAATTTTATAAATTATTATGCTTCTAGTTCTAGCTCTGGTAGCACTTATGGAATAACTAAAAATGAATGGACAATTATATGTAATTTAAATGAGATGTCACAAGTTTTTTATGATGCTACAATGTTATTATCTGACTTATATTATCCAACTATTACTTTAGCTGCTTTACAAATTTTAAATATTCAAATTTTTTTTAATAAATATCGTACGAATAATACTTTTGGAGCTATAATTTTTCAAATGGAAAGAAAATTTAATAAGTATTTTAGGCTTATTCCTCATATTTTTTATTTGGAGGTTCTTATTGATCCATGTTTGAAGGATATTGGCCTTCGAAGTTTGTTACAATCATTGTATTGTTGACAGATTATACACTTAGATGATGGATCCATCCTTACTGCTACTTCTCATTATTTAGCTATAAGAAATTATTTTCAAACCTTATATGATGAGTATGCAGCTAGACATGGTGTAGCTGCACAATAGTCTACTGCTTCGGCGCCTTTGAGCTCAGGCCGAGGTAAAAGTATAAGTTTTGATAGGTATGCAATGGTAGTTAAGCTAACTGGTGGATCTGGAGTTGGATCATCATTAGAGGTTTCTGAAATAGATAAATATTTATCTGCTTCTTTAGTTAAATGTCAAGGAAATGCTTTAGATATTTTGCAATGGTAGAGAGTATATGGATCAGTTTCATATCCTATACTTTCCACCATGGTTCGTGACTTACTAATAGTGCATGTTTCGACAGTAGCTTCGGAATCCGCCTTCAGCACAGCAGGACGTTTGATTGACGACCACAAGACATGCTTAGATTCGTATACTGTACAAGCAGTGATGTGCTTACAAGATTGGTGGATGTACGAGAAGAGAACGCAAGGCATCAATCAGATGGCTGGAATTGAAGATAAATTTGAAGAGTTGGGACTAGCAGATAGATATAAAGATTAAACAATATTCATCAAATTATAATTTTTATTTCTTAGCTTTAAATTTGTAATGAATTATTTTGGAAACAGTTACAAATGATAGTGATATATGTGAGTAGGTGCCAACCTAGTTGGGATGTACTCATCTATTATGATGCGACGAATTCCGAAATAAATTTATACTTGTAAAGGATTTACTGATTATTAATAAAGAAGTTATTTTTATCATCTTTCATTTTTATAATTTTTGTATTTGTAATTTATGTTATTTTAAGTTATTAATAATATTATTGTTTTTTATTAGCATTTTTTGTAATTTTTTATGTATATTTTAAAATTTAAAGAGATTTTTAAAAAAATAAAAAAATATGGGCC